AGTCCAAATGTCATATATATCCAGATATATTTATCTTGGGAAAAATCAACGGTTTTCTTCATGATTTTTGTCTAAAATATGCCATATTTGGATGTGGCATATGAAGTATTTGTGATAATTATATGCATAAGACACGATGGACAAATATTTTGACACTTGACGAGATCAAATCCAGCCCTCCTAAAAAAGGGCGATGCTCCGGTGCTCTCTACTGATAGTATTAGGGCAATCCCAACCCATAACACTAGACATGGTTTCCATAAACTCCACATCATCAAGAAACTAGTATTAGGCACTACTCTTCCAATGCAAACACCACCATTCCATACTTCAATTTAATGCTACTTATCTCACGTGATGTTTTAGATGTTGTGTAGAACCCATGTCTCATGCAAGACATGGTTTCCTTCTCTTTCCTCATTTATTCACTTGCCATATCATTTTTTGTTCAGGTGGCAACTTATTTAATGTTATGGACACCATCCTAGTCATTGGGTTGGGAATACCCTTATACAACCAGTAGAGCTAATCTGAACCATTTATTTTTAAGGGTAGATTAGTAAAAGTACTTATATTAATTAGGGGTAAATTTGACACTTAGAATTTTTTTTCTCCTTGTGGGTCCCATGGTCAGCGTCGTTCGCTCCCTCATCCATCGAAACCGAACGACGGTGGAGAGCGTGACTCCGGCTGGGGCTGGAGGTCAAGCGCCGATCGACCTCTTGCCTCGCTTTCCTTGTCTCGTGTGGGTCTCGCGACGCCGCCGCCGCCGCCATATCCTCGGTCCGCCGCGCGCTCCAGTCCGTGCTCGACAAGGCCAGCTCCGGCTTCGACTTCGCGCCCAGGGCATCGTTGATGGGCAGAAAATGCCGAAAGGTCTCCACGTTCGAGTCATCGAGCTCCTCGGATCTTGACAAGTTTCAGAGAAAATTACAGAGTCAAATGCCCGTTGCTCCTTTATTTCCAACCAAAAAGATCTGATCAGTTGCAGTGTTAATTGCAACCGATAATTTAATCGATCATGTTTGTAAAAAAGATATATACGAGGGCGGTGAGAAAGGCGGCGAGGGCGGGGAGGTGAGTAGGTGACGGATGCGGCGAGGGAGGGGCACGGGCTACAGGGGCGGGGAAGCGATTTGCGGTGGCGGTGAAAATATTTGGCACTTTAACGATTACGATTATACCTCTCCGCACATTTTTTTTTCCTAGATAAAAATACCCCTCCACGCTTCTACTACTATTAAGTATTATCTCCATATTTTAATGTATGACGCTGTTGACTTTTTGTTTAACGTTTGACCATTCGTCTTATTCAAAAAATTTACATAATTATCATTTATTTTAAGAGGTAATCCATGAAATGCCATTGACAAGCATCTAAGTCTCAGAAATGCCATCGATAAGTGTGAGTTCCAAGAAATGCCATCGACAAGTGTGAGTTCCAAGAAATGCCATCGTACAAGCGATTTTGTCCCAAAAATGCCATCGCCGTTAGGGTTTCGTCCATTTCACGCCGTTAAATACACTGTTCATCCTATAGAACTTAACGGCGTGGAATGGACGGAACCCTAACGGCGATGGCATTTTTGGGACAAAATCGTTTGTACGATGGCATCTCTTGGAACTCACACTTGTTGATGTCATTTCTAGGACTTGACCGCTTGTCAATGGTATTTTATGGATTATCTCTTATTTTAATGTGACTTGATTCATCATCAAATATTCTTTAAGCATGATATAAATATTTTTATATTTGCACAAAAAATTTAAATAAAATGAATGGTCAAACATTGATCAAAAAGTTAACGGCGTTATATATTAAAATACGGAGGGAGTATGATGGTAGTAGAAATAGATCTCAACCCTACGATCAAATGAATTCAACGGTTCGGATTACTTTCTACTACAAAATAGAGAGCATTGGAGTGGGACTTAAAAGATCAACATTCTGTTCCATGATTTATTATGTCTAAAAAATGCCATATTTGAATGTGAAATATGGAGTGTTTGCAACAATTCTGTGCATTCACTGGACAGATATTTTCGTACTTGCGAGATCAAATCCAATCCTCCTCAAAAGAAAACAGAGAGAGAACAACATTTTTCTCCCTGATTTGTCTAAAAGATGACTTTTTGCAAGAAAAAAAAGATATATTTGAATGTGAAATATGAGGTATTTGTGTAGTTCTATAAGTCAGACTAGCTGGACGAATGTTTTGGTACTAGAATAGGGAGAATTCCAGCCCTCCTTACCAAAACAAACAAACATCTAACGATCGAAAACGATTTGGTACCGTGAGGTACCGGTATCTCTAGGTACTTTTGACGGACCGGAGCAAATCTCTTATCCCATAGAAGGAATTTTTCTCAAGAAAAAACATGTTTGGAGATGAAATATAGATTACTTGCAACAATTATATATATATCAGACTCGCTAGCTAAACATATGTTTTGTTACATTATGTAAGAGAATCGATTCCAGCCCTCCTCGGGAAAAAGAAAACTCTCGATAATCTCCATTGTTGTGCCTTCCTAGACGCTTTGTCATCCCTACAGCTGGCTACCTCTCTACCTGACTGAATTGGCTAACAAAGTAGATCCAGGAAACCAGGTGTACAAGTGCCACTGCCCAAGTATCTAGACCAGCATCCCGTCGATATGCGTAGAGCAAATGTCGTAGGGAAGAATTAAAGGTTGTGCCAACAGAATGTGATGGAAATAGAAGCTACAGCCTACAAGTAGTCAAGTAGGATGCTTTTTTGTGGCACGCCATCTCCTACATTACTGCATACCATGCTGCCAAATTAATTAGGGAGAACTTCTCGTTTGCCACACAGTTGTGTGACATCCTCCATCTTTTTCACACAATTGGTTCTCATTGCCAAAATGACACATGGTTCTTCCCTTGAAAAGAAAATTGCCACATAGTTAGGCCGTTCCTGAGGGAGTGCGAGAGGGGTCGCCGCCAAGGGCCCAGAGTACTTAGGGGTCCCAATCATTATATACATTCCCTAAGTATAAACTTAGGCACCCGTATCACCTTAAATATAGTCTAAAGATCAAGCATGTGACACTCCTCTCTATTTTGCTCTAGCTCCACCCCTGCACTCAAGCATGGATTGGACTTGGAGAAGAGAGAGGGCCTAAGAAAAATAGAGGAGCAATTTTAGAATTTAATTGTATGGTGTGACAAAAGGAGTAAATTATTAAGGAACTCCGTGGTATTTTAGCCATATCAACCAACTATGTATGTGGAAAATGAGAGAATGGCATATAATTACTTATATGAACATGGGTGGCTCGATCTTTCGATGATTAACAACCCATAGCACAAAGAGATGTCACCCGTGCTCACGTTAGTTATTATTAGAGCAGAGAACATCACCTCAAGTAAAAAAAAAAAGGGCTACTTTGGATTGGAATGAAAAATGAATTTTGGAGAATTTTAGTGGAAATTAAATTAATCATGCAAAATATTCTGATAAACTTATGTTTTGAGCTCCTTTAGTAGACGTTTATAATGGGCCATACCCATGACCCTTGCACAACCCAACTCATTTCATTTTTCCGTTTAGCTCAAACAAATATACAAAATCCAGGGGATAACTATCTGGCGCGCGCGCCAGCTGGCACCCCTCCCTACGCTCTTTCTTTTTTTTTTGGCGATTTTCTCCAATTTTTAACGTTCATTTTTCGCATTTTTTATGTTCTTTTATCTTCAGCACACGTGTTTTCAAATGTTTGAGTTGAAAGTTTTCAAATCTTGAGTTGAAAGTTTATATTGTCCTAAAAAATTTTAAATCTGAATTGGAAGTTTCAAATCTCAAGTTGAAAATTTTAAAATCTGAGTCGAAATTTTTTAAATCCGAGTCAAAAGTTTTTAAATATGAGTTAAAATTTTTCAAAATTTGTCTTACAAATTTAAATTTCAAGTTAAAAATTTTCAGAGTTTGAGTTCAAAGTTTTTAAAATTTGACTTCAAAGTTTAAATCTTTAGTCAAAAGTTTTCAAATTTAACTTGAAAGTTCAAATTTTGAGTTGAAAATTTTTAAAAAATGAGTTTAGACTTTTAAATTTTGAGTAGTTTTAAATTTTATGTATAGTTTTTATTTTTCAATATAAAATTTTAAATTTTACGTGAAAGTTTCTTTTATGTATAGATTTATTTTCAATCTGTTAGTAAAAAACCTCCCAAAAAAGAAAATTTTATCTTAACTACCGTCATTGTCTATAACTAATACGGTAGTTAGGCTAGTTCTAATACGGTAGTTAGGCTAGTTCTCCCAGAAAACACGTGCGCTAACTAACTTTTTCGCAAAATTCAGCCCGATTCTTTCCACCCTAACAATTAGAATTTGTAGGTTAAAACATGGTTCCCCTTATCATTTTCGGCGGAGTTACCGAACCTCCACGGTAAGGTGGTTATCGTGGTAACCGCGAGACATACCGTGGTTTCAAAAACTGAAAAGGTTACCATGCATGGTAACCATGATAAAACCACGTTGTTTTGTAAACCCTGACTGAAGTGTATTTAGAAAATTCTAGAGAAAATGAACTAAGCCATGTGAAAAATCACAAAAATTCCTACATACAGTAATCAAGACTGAGGGAGTGGGCGTCCGTACCCATCAACGCCCTTGAAAATCAGTAGCCGCTCAAAGAAAAAAAGAAGTATGGAGGCAGCCATTCCTTTGGGCTTTTTAGGCTGCCAGTCCCCTGTTTAACATGTTGGTAGCTAGGAGTACCATATGCTCCTGTCGTACTTATTAGTGCAGTCAGCACTAACAGATTCCCTAAGATGATCATGTGATCATCACATAACTTCAATGTGATGACAAGTTCTGATACCTGATTTGATGAGTGAGACACAGATAGTGGTAGACCAGCATATTCCTTTCCTCGGCCCGAGGAAAAAAAAGGCTAAGGGGCGTACGGATCAAACCAAACTGCCCGTCAACTCTCCCTTTAGTCCACGACATGAACGGTAAACCCGGGTGTCATGGAAGATGTAAAACTGCAATATGGGATTCAGCCCGACGCCATAGTTGTATACTAAACGCGACGATGCTGTACAATGTAAAGAGTTTTGACAGGTTTTGTTTAATTTCATGAATTCCAGCGGCAATGTACCCAGCTTGATGCAACTTCGTTGCCACTTTCCAAGCCAGATCTCTCCCACTGTCAGTGAGTGAACCCACGTACAGCTTTCAGCTACGCTATCTTACAAGTGAAGTTATTACAAGCATCACGGCGACGATGAAAAATCGCTCGTGCCTGCTTCAGAGAGTGTAGTTTCCTGGAGTTGGGTATTGAGCAGGGAGGAGAGGAGGTCCCGCTGCAGGTACAGGGCTAAAATTGAAGGGGTGATTGTATGCGCAAGCTGGCCCAAATTTGCAGACCCCATAGCGACCATAGTATGTGCACACAGGCTGATCCTGAAACAAATATGGCAAGAAATAAAACATTAAAAAAATAGCGATCAAGCATTATCTGATTTAGATTGCAAATGATGGGGTCAGAAGAGGTAAACAAAAATAAATCATAAGTTATTAGCATAGAGTTGTCAGTTAACAACAGCTGCAACCATCAGGAATAGAGTTTATAGCTTAAACTAAAGTGAGTTAACTCTATTCTTTTAGTCTAAAATATGTACAAAATGTCTTAGCTATAATAATCTTAATCTAACCCCACCTCCCAACTTAAGAATTTTTTGAACTAGAGATACCAAACCTGGGGTTGAAGCTGTAACAAACAGTCCCAACAGAGCTAAATGAATGATATCACCTAAAATTGAGGAAATAAATGGAAGAAGGAACATACAGGTTTTATAGGCAAGCCAAGAGGGCTAAGAGCTCCTGCTGGAGGCACCGGTGACCTTGGGTGGTGATATTTGCACTTCATCCTAAATTTGCAAAAACCACTCTTCACAAAATGCTGACATTCAGGTTGGCCAGGTCTCTCTGGGTATTCCTCGGAAGGAACCTGCTGATGTCCAGGTATTTCTGGTGCCTTGTACATAGGATGATTTATAGGAGCAGCTGGAAAATGTTGGAAAGGGACTCCAGGAGGATAATATGGATTCAACGGAACCTGAAAAGGAAATAGTTACACGTGAAATTGTTACCCAAGATAATGTATCAATTGTAAAGAAAGGTGCTTTCTCGAAGAAGACATTTGAAGGATAAACTGGAGAACTGGACTAATAGAAACATAATTCCTATGTACTTGTCCGAGAAATGGCAGCCAACATATAAAATCTGATCACATTCCAATACATAAAAGTAACTCGACATGGAAATGTATTTGGCAAATTTGTATCAAGCATTCAAATGCACCTCATACATCCTATTTTCAATATTGTTTTGCAACATATGATTTAATTATGTAACAATCAAAAAACATACGTTAAGGACCACAATTACAAGTAAAAAGGAATGGAGGGTACTATCTTCCTTGATTTCAGCCAGGAAATTTCTAGTTAATATTGGAAAAAGTAATAATAGCCAATTTCTAATGCAATTTTACAAATTTCAATTAGTTCTTATAAGAAAGTCGACAGAAAGAAGTCAGCAAAACATGCCAATATGCTCAATTTTCACTTCAACGAAAAGCAACTTGCAATATTTACTCCGTCCATCTGAGATGGAGCGGAGAGAACATTTTGGCATCATAGGTGAATCTTTAATTTACCTGATGATACCCATTCCATTCAGGAGGTGGATACATTCCTTGAGGAGGAAGCATCCCTGCACTGTACGATGGAGATGGAGCTATAAACGGAACATGATGCTCATTCACTGTTCTCTGATCGGGCCAAATTGAAGCATTTGGCTGAGACGATGATCCTTGAACATCTTGCTGTGGAGCATCCCCATTCTCATGCTCCAACTGTGGATCTTTAGAAGCAACATTAGAAGGATCAGGATGGTGAAACTTGCAGTTAGTGGCGTACTTGCAGCTCCCAGTACGCATGTAGTAGGGACACTCCTTTTCCCCCTGCAAGATTAACACCACAATTGTATAGAAAAGGAATATTTAAGAAATGACTATTAATATCATGAACATATTTATTGCACACTGCTGTAAAAATTAAGTGCAATCATGAAAATCACTCTGGTTTGGCACCAAGTCAGCACAACTCTGAAAAGATCTTAGGTACAATATTTGTCCTGTGGTAATTATTTTAGTTTGCAAACCTATGGATCAGTTTACAGGAGTAAAAGGAGAGTTATAGTAGCATGTACTCTTTTCTCATCAAATTTACAATTTGACAAAACTTACTTTTTGCAAACATAACAATTAATAAATTTATAGATATATTGACAGCTTTCTAGTAGGTTTCATTCCATTAACCAAACAATTGTCCAAGCCTACCATACTTTAGTTTCTGAGGTTTACTTGTCAACTTACGAACTTATAATACCCAAACTGAAGAGGTTTACATGATCACAGTCACACCCAATGGTGGATACAGAATAAAAATGACAAGGTATCCTGTAGATATTAGAACATGTCTAATACTCTAATTATCGAGAATTGTTTTAGTAAATAGCAATGGTTAAAACAACTAACAATAGAAATCCCAATCAGTGTCCAGTGCACTGGCATATGATTAGATCAGCAGTAGTTGCTCTATCCCTGATTGAACCTAGTTATTGATTTATGTGATTGCATGAGGCATCCCATAACACCAGTACAATGTATGGATCACACATACATAAATAAAGCCCACAGATAGCCTGATAGGGTAACCATAAACTCAACTAGAGTATTTAAGCTTGACAAACAAATGAAAGACTTACTGGACGAAGTGGAAGACCGAGAAAGTTCAGGTCAACCTTTTCAGCGTCTGTTTTCCCTTCTTTTCCATCACGGTGGAGGTATTTACAAGCTTTACCAAATTTGCATCCTCCAGGTGTTGAATAATACTGAAAAGGGTTAAAAAAAAGACTCAAGGGACAAGGAATATCTTTGTAATGAAAGATCTACAAAATTGGCGGCCTTAGATTACAATGGGGTGCTCGAGTGTGTACAGAAAACTATGGTAGCATGCTAGGATCAACTATGGTGACAAAACAAAATTAACTTACAGAAATATAGCAATACAATGAAGAAATTTACTAAAGAATATGTAAAAGAACACTAGAGTTGATATAAATAATTTGTTGTACGTTCATGGCATGTTACCAAAGGCCTGTTTGGGGGAGCTTTAGATTCTGAGAAGCAGCTGGTGAGAATCTGGCTTATAGTTCATTTTCTGGATTCTACAACTACAGCTTCGCAGAATCTAAATGAAAAGTTGGACTGTTTGGGGGAGCTTTTGATTCTGGAAGAAGCTACAGCTGTCAAAAACTCCCGAAACAAGCCCTAAAACTTATGTTCTGGTGTAGCAACCTATGTTATCAAGGCATCATCTAAGTGACGCCATGGCATCCAGGTGGCAACAAGAAGACAAAATGTCCCTTCACCTAAGTCCCACCAGTTAAGTTAGCACCTAAATGAACTGGGCACCAGAACCACCATGATTGGTCCAAGGGTAAGAACCCCTTCAATTTATTGGTTCATGGAATTGGAATGGTTGGTTTCAGGGAATAGAAGAGAGAAAACAATTGTGAAATTTTAGGGAGTTGAGAAACATGCAGAGCAGAGGAACACTAGCCACTGCAAGCGCCTTTCTACAATCACCCATTCACCCTTGCGACCAGCTCAGTTGTTCTTCCACTTCTGCTACTTCCTCTGGCTCACACTCTTGTAAGCTCTTCCTCCGCCTCTTCTCCACTATTCCTCCATTGCATGCTATGACTCTGTTGTGCTCTTCCTCTGCCTCTTCATCTGCCTCATGATTTGCTATGCTGATCTCCTACATGCCGTCCTCTGCTTAGCTGGTTTGCTTTGCTTTGCTTTAAAATTTGGCTCTCATGTTGCTCTGATCTCCGCTCTGTGCTGCTATTCTACTCTGCTGAATAGCTCACCTTGATAACACATAGGTTGTTAGGCTATCAGAGACACCAGTGACCAGACACAGGATTCAGCCATCCATTCCATTGGTTGACTGCTCCAGACCACAAGCACATGTACAATGCATGGTATATGGGGTTGTTTAATGCCCCCAAATAAGCTGTGAAGATTAACAGATTTACTGATCCCAAATTATTTTCTCCAAGTATAAAACCAAAAAGAGTAATGCAGCTTCATTACTTTACTAAAATGTACCCCCTCTGGTTCCATAATTCTTCTTGTTTGGGACAAGATTGAGGTCAGACTATCAGAACTTTGACTATCAATAGCTTTAAAAATATTTTAGTTTGAAGGCATTAGAACATGTATAGATTAGTCTTAAAAAGTTAAATATTTATTTATTGTACATATTATAGTAGAAAATTCATAATCAAAGATATGTTTTGGAGACCATGTCGTTGTCCAAAACAAGAAGAATTATGGAATCGGATGGAGTGGTCAATAAGATAAACCACATGCTCAACCAGGTTATTCAGACAAGCCTAATCACCTTACCCCTAAACCTTCGATTTATAAAATCTACAGAACATTTAGGACGGATTTTCAAGGAACTGAAAGTCTGTACATCATAATATCCAGTACAAGGAATTTTCAGCTGTTAATATTACATGGCCCCTATGCTTTAAGAGCAAAATTGATCAAAGACTTATCGATAGGGTGAAAGATCACTAACAAACCTTGCATTCCTCCTGGGAACTACCTTCTGAAATAAATTCCTTCCTTTTCTCTTTGGCAACCTTCAGTACCTCGCAGAAAAAGAAGATAGTATAATCAGGAGATAATAAAATGAAGACTTTATACAAAATACAGATCAACCAAAAGGTTATAACATCCTAGATAAAACCAGAATTTTGCATGACAATGAGGTTTGTTATCATGTAAGTACAGCAAATATATAAATTTGTTAGTTCAGACTCAGTTACAGGAGGCATGAAGGACGCAATTTGCTACAAGAAACCCAGTATATATAGATATGAAGGTATGGGGAAAAAAGAAAATCCCATAATACAACATTATAAGGCAGATAAAAAAATTTAACACAAACAATGGACATTTTACAAAAGGATGACCAGCTGACCATCAAGGTGCTGCCAAAGGGGCTTCAATAATATAAAAATTGCGAACATTTTAATATATTTCATCTAACTTCATCAAACAAATTAATTTCTCAATATCCTCCACAATCAACCAACAAAAGATATGACAATTTTGAAAATTCAAACTACATTTCTCAAGCAACTCAAAAGAGTTCATTCATATTGTATAATGCCAATCACACAGCAGCAACAGCTAACCTTAAGTTCCTTTGGCTCCACTCTTCCCTTCTTCACATCGATAATCTGCAACAAAGAAAAACAGAACACATCAAACATTGTGATACTTTCAATTTCTAGCTATGAATGCATGTATAAAATTGGAATTGCTTTCACAGGTTGAATGGCGTAAAATGTAAATCACCTCCATAACAATCACACCTCACTAAGAGGCAAGTATCTTGAGTCTCAACCATTAATAGATACATCTCAAATAAATTACTTGATATGCTGAAAGGAAATTCTGGTTGCTAACCTCATAAGAATATTTCTTAAAGTTTTCTAAGTTAGACGCACTCCCCTTGTCAGCAAATCCCTACGAGAAAATAAGATATTAACATTAGATAATTATTATAGAAAAGGAAAAAAATAAATAAATTGTGCATCTAATAGTTAATTCTGCAAACGTGCTTGTAGCATGGTGGTAATGCCTTCCAGTGGAAAGCTACTGACCAGGGTTCAAATCCTGGTCTCGCACAAAAGAAAAGGTCACTTGTTGGTTCCCCCAAAAACATGGGTAGAATCGCCAAATGGAAGGCGTGCCCTCGTGTGTGGGGTAGGGACCTCAAAGCATGGGTTAAGGCCCAATCCATAGGGAGCGACTCATCGTGTAGGGGGGACAAGCTTTTGTGGCCTTTCTCAGCCCCAGTTTTGGGTGCCTCTTCTTAATTGAAAGACCTCAGGGGAGGTCTTTCCCCTTGGGGCCAAGTTTTTCTAATAGCTATCTGAACTTCACAGTTCAAGGTGGTTGATTCATCACCGAAATTAGCGACACCTAGGTATGCCAGTATGGCATGCCGTGCTTTTCAGGACAACCATTTTGGTGCAATGCCTATGCAGTTACATCCAAACTAGTCAATTCATGATGGTGGACACAGATTTGTACAATATTAAAAATATTGCCGAAGTGTCAACGTGCAAGGTGGTGTACTACAACACAGCTTTTGAAACCATTTTCAACTGCTTTTCAATCACTTGGACACAGTACAGACACTAGCTTTAGTCATCAATGAATTCGGCGTTACTCCTTCACATTCAATTATAGAATAAAGTAAAGATGACGCACCAAAGAATCAACTTCAGGTGAAATATCTGGAACATAGCTTCCGTATTCCTCTTTTGGAGCCTGCTGGAAAGTTAAATTCAATAACAGAAAGGCGAATTAAATTTTACTGAAGAAAAAAAATCGTTATTTGCTATCAAGTGTTAACTTAATATCTTATCCACCATCCAAATTTGCCGTTCCCTTGTTTTCCACTCTTTAATTTTTGTCCACCCTTATTGGCCACTTCCATCAACTCCGTGTAAGCTAAGTGTTTAACACTTGTTTGTCTTTTAAACATTTAATAGGCCACACATCTAGTTTATAGCAGCATGGATATGGTAGAACCATGAATATCCACCGCGAAAACACGACATATGGTGACTGAAATTTATGTGAAAATTTAGCAATTTATTAGACCTCCATAGCATCAAAACTAATTGCATTCAGATCACACAACTTATATGAACAACATGGCAACATAAGCTCCGTGCACTCCAATTATTCATCATATTAGTTTCATTTACCCGCTTTCAAGACAAAAAAAAAACAGTGTATTTGCATGCTGCAACATAATAATACAATAGAAAAGACAACAAGCCCAAGCAACGTGCCAAATCAAGACAGACATGCATGCGCTGAATAGCTGAAGTAAAACACGAGGCATAAAAAGCGCTAATCACCTGCTCATCATCAGGCGAGGAGGCTTTGTTACTGCTGCTGTTGCTCCCGCCGCTGCCACTACCACCGTTACTACCTTTCACCTGTACACACGCATGCAGAGACAAACAAACAAAAACAACGCGAAGTCACGGACACATGAGAAAAACCCACTCACAAAAGTCGTCTCCGTCTCACCCATCCGCAAACCACCAAACCCCAACTCGCCATCACCAAAACCAGATCAAAACGCCCTCATAAAAAAATTAAAAAAACCCCCTAAAATCGCGCAAAATAATTAAACAACTAGCTCCAACACCAATCCACCCACCCTACTCTTCTTCTTCCTCGCCGGATGATTGAACTTGCACTTCATCCCAAAGCGGCAGCTCCCGAACTTGACGTAGTAGGTGCAGTCCGGCTCCCCGGGTCGCCTCGGGAACCGCGGCCTCGAATCCGCCGCAGCACCCTCCACCCCCACCGCCGCCGCCACCTCACCCGGCAGCTTCTCACCACCGGAGACCTCATCTCCAGCAACAACAACAGGGCCATCCTCCCAGCCGGTGGGCTTGGGAAGCAGCAGCTCCTCCCCCTGATCGGCGATGGCGAGTCCGGCGAGCTGCTCCTCCACCTCCACCTCGACCTCCACCTCGTCCTCCCCGGCGGCGGGGGCGGCGGAGGAAGGGGAGATCGAACCGATCGGCGTGGCGCCGGGGTCCGATTTGGGCGGGGCCCTCGCGTCGGCGTCCGCCATTGGCCTCTCCTCGGAGGTGGAGACTGGAGAGAGAGAGAGGAGAGAGAAGGGATGGTGATGGAGACGAGAGCAGGTGGGGGAAGAAGCGAAGCGAAGCAACGAAAGTGGGGAAAAACCCTAGAGAGAGAAAGCGAGACCCGCGTCCGTGGGTCCCCCCCTCTCCCCTCAAGCCCGAGAGGGTAAAACCGTAAAACCCACCCCACTTTTTACCCCCCAGCGCAATATTTCAGTTCAACCCCTATATTATCCTCTAATCACACGAACTTCTACTTTTGGCGAGGGATGAGGGTGTGTTCGTAAATAGAGATGTGGATTAGGGTGGTGGATGTAAAATGGGACGTGACGAGGACAGGGTGAAACTGTTCGGCGCGGGCTGTTGTTGCGCGCATGTGACGCGCAGTGCGCGCGCGCGTGCGACCGGAGGGAGGGGGAGGGGGCCCACGGGGCGGTCAGACGCGGGGAGACCGGCGCGTCGTGGACCGACCGACCGACCGAACGCTCGGTGCGGCGCGGTGCGGTGGCGGGCGCGCGCGCATGAGTCCGTCCGTGGGGAGAGGGGGCTAGCGAGGGAGCCCCACCGCGGAAGGTTCGTGGAAATCGCGGATGGATGGACATGGACATGGGGACTCCGTAGACTGTCCATCCATGCGGGCGGCCGTGGAAAATCCGTTGATTTTGGTATTCTTTTGGAGGGCGATGATTAGGCGACGGGCCCGTTTGGGAAGGATAGGGATTATAAGGGGTGTGAGAGCATCAGCAAGATTACGGATAATCTTTCCTCAAAATTTGTTTTTTTTCTAAACGGGAAATAAGAAGTAAAAAAATTAACTCTATAAGAAAAGTCTAAATTTTATAAAAAAAACTAAAATGGTCTAATGTTAAAACTCCAAAACGTGTGTAGGGCTGTAAGGGAATATGTTGTATCCGATTTTTCACATAAAAATCCTCAAAAGGGAACAATATAGGAGGACTGCTGGTGATGCTATATAGGAGGACTGTTAGTGATGCTCGTAATTGATTTCCTAACGGTTTGTAGTGAGGGGTTTTATGCCAACATAAATTTTATCATATTTTATTTTCGAAACATTTTGTACGAAATGCCAGATAGAAATAAAAAAGTAGACATAGAAGCAGGGCATATGGGTTGTGTTTAGTTACACACCAAAATTAGAAGTTTAAAAAAATTAGAACGATACGACGGAAAAGTTGGAAGTTAATGTGGGTAGGAAAGTTCGATATGACAGAAAAATTAAAAGTTTAAAGAAAAAAGTTGGAATCTAAACAGGGCCATGATAGGGTTGCATGTGTGAAAACAAAGAATTAAAATACCTAGAAAAAAATAAAATATGGTGTTCATAACAAAGGAGTTAGGTAAACACGGAATCTTTCAAAGCAATCACATTAAATTAAATAAACATGCTTATGTTGTACTTGAAGTTTTAAGCACTAATTTACCTTGGTTTAGCGATAAAGAGGTTCCAATGGATATATGTTTTTCCGGAATCTATGGCATAGGAAAATTTGTTATACTTTTCCTATACCACAATTCTCTATTTCAAATGAGTGAATAGTGTTTATTCCTAAAGAAAATATGTATGCGCTCATCCCTATGAAGGTCTCTCATAAACATCTCACTATCGATTGTTACATTGTCATAGACGTCTCTTCGGTTTTTAACTTTATCAAAGTTTATTGTTGAATTTTAGACTTCCGTGGGCTGAAGATTTCCAATGTGGATGGCATACCATTTGTACAAATGATTTACTTTGCAATTAATATTTTTGTAAGTTCCGAAACCTAGTCTGTACTTTTGAAATTTGCGGCACAACATATCAAATTTAGAATAACAGTGCATTTTAGAAGTTTGGACTGTTTCTTATTGAAATACTGTCAATACGGCTAGTTCATTTTATTTTAACGACCACAGTTTTTCTAAAGTAAGTAGTATCGATATATTAAGAATAAGACCAGGTTCAAAACTTCAACTTTAAACTATAACCTTTCGTGTGTTGTTGGCATATTTTCTGAACTGCTAAACGGTATGTGTTGTGAAAAAATCAATATAGATGTTTTTTTTAAAAATCAAATAAATTCATCTTTTAAATTTATAGTAATTAGTACTTAATTAATCATATACTTAAAACATCATGTTTTACATGATGCTAATATGCTACTCCAATATGAAGTTTCAACCAGGTCCTAAGCCACATAATTCTTTATGTTTGTGACACACAATACCCCTATGAGCATATCAGAGAGGTTAAGACCAATATATAATGAGATTAACAAAATCACCACAAAATAGATATGGCGTTTATCACTGAAACAACGAGTGCATATAAATAGTTAAATACAAACACCCATGCTAAAAAAACACCCATGCTAAGTTGGAAAATAGAACCTAGATGGGTAAGAAACCTAACCATGTGAACTACTTCAGTCACAATTCTGTTATAATTTTTAAGATGATGAGCAACATAGATCAATGGGTAGTGCCTGATAGCTCCCAGTCGATTGAGCTACAATGGTTAACATAGCACATGCGCACAGGCAGACGATACTGACCCCATGCGCACAGGGGCGGAGACAAGCCTAAGACAATTAGAGCTTGGAGCTTGGGCTTGTTTAGTTAGTCTCTTGTAAATTCTTTCAGAGTTTATCGAAAATTCAAAGATTCAATAAACTGCATTTGTTGGGCCCTGCTCTTTATTTTGTTAGGAAGCGATAGGCAAACAAACGATAAAAAAACAATAGATCAATCACAGAAGACACGAGATTTAACGTGAAAAACCCTCCGAAAACAGAAGAGAAAAATCCACAGGCACCGGCCAACAAAAATATCTTCACTATATCTGGGGTGAGGTTACAACGCCGTACGACGGCTTACAAGAGGTATATATATATGGTGGAACCCCAAGCCTATCGGCGACGGGCCTCTGCTCCACTTGACAGAAACTAGATTTTATTAAGTGCAAATAAATTTGGATCACAACTCAACATATTTGCTAAGCCCTAATCTTTATAAATTTCTGGCTCTGGCACTACCTATGTATAATAGATGTAACTTATTGATTAATAATTAGTAGAATTTTATAGGAAAAAAACTTCCGTACGATGTAGATTTTATGGTCGTTGACGATGTATTGCGAAAGAGATTAATGGTCCAAAGCTCAAATCAGATACTATGTCAAAAAGTTAATACACCTGGTACTTTAAAATAGAGGGAGCGTGCGTATATGGCTGGTTGATTTGCGGCCTCACGTTATTTCCACCGTCACGAGGCTAATGATTCTTCATCGCGCACAAGGCGACAACCCTTCGTCAAATCCAAAACAGCACAAGCGAACAGGAACCCTGCTGCTGGTCATGCTAACACTGTAGCCATAAGACGAATCGATGGGGATGGGTAAATTGGCACAGGGCATGGATATGTACGTACCTTAAAGGCCTGTATAGTTTACGAAATATAAAATTTTTGGATATCACATCGGATGTTTGACTGGATGCCGGAAGGGGTTTCGGACACAAATAAAAAAAACTAATTTCATAACTCACATGGAAACCGCGAGACGAATCTTTTGAGCCTAATTAATCCATCATTAGCACATGTGGATTATTATAGCACTTATGGCTAATCATGGACTAATTAGGCTCAAAAGATTCGTCTCGTCATTTCCTCCCCCACTGTGCAATTAGTTTTTCTTTTAATCTACATTTAATACTTCATGTATGTGTCTAAAGATTTGATGTGATGTTTTTGAGAAAAGCTTTTTGGAAACTAAATGGGGCCGCTTAGGTGGTGTTTGGATTCAGGGACTTAACTTTAGTCTCTATATTTAGACACTAATTTAGAGTATTAAATATAGACTATTTACAAAACTAATTACATAAATGAAAGCTAATTCGCAAGACAAATTTTTTAAGCCTAATTAATCCATAATTAGAGAATGTTTACTGTAGCATCACATAGGCTAATCATGGATTAATTAGGCTCAAAATATTCGTCTCGTGAATTAGTCCAAGATTATGGATGGGTTTTATTAATAGTCTACGTTTAATATTTATAATTAGTGTCCAAACATCCGATGTGATAGGGACTTAAAAGTTTTAGTCCCATCTATACAGGGCCTTAGCATAGCGTAGACAAAGTCCGAGAATTTGACTACCTTTTGACTTTTGGAGCAGACAAGATTGGACGGAAATTAGAGGAGTAAAGGCTATATTTTTCTTGCATCGTTATTCATTGGATTATTGAAAAGGATTATTTGCTATATGCTTTATATTCGAAAACTTTCTTCTATTACATTGTTTAGATCACTCCTTTTAAGCCATTTTTTAAGTTTTTTTCTTAAAAAAATATTTTATCCATATAATTAAGTAAATAATCTACCGAAGTAATTCACTAAATACACATTGAAGGCTGAGTTCTTTTTGGCGACTCTAAACAACAACTTTCTCGTTTTCCGTTAGCATACATTTCGAACTGCAAAAAAAAAGTAATGTTGTGTAAAAATTTTCTATATAAAAAGCTTTTCTAAAAAAATTAAATAATTCCACTGTCAAGTTTGTAATAATTAATACTTGATTAATCATGGACTAATGATTTGTCTCATTTCACGTGCCACCAAAAATCGATAGTGAACCGCTGAAAATGAACGCACCTAAGGAAAAAAACAGAATTTTCAAAACAGTCGTCTAGAAGGCTTATAGAAAAGAAATATACAGCGATTTTGTGATTTATATGCTCTACTTAGATGACAGAGAGAGTAGAAAGAGAAAGAGAGAGGCTGCATTGGTTTTTCTGAAAGGAAATAAACCAAGAGGTTGGAACTCATGTTTAAAATCTTATGGACCTGGGGTATAGGAATGTTTAAAATCGTATGATCCAAGTTACCTCAATAGGAAAAATTCCTATGCAACCTACAATCCAGAGGAGCCATAAGCCTATGTTTGCCTCTTCTTATGTTCCTTTTAATTCGTAGGAAAAAGATACGAATCTTTGGATGATTTCAATCCTACGGAAAAAAATTCCTATGAAGGCCTTTAAAATGAATAATTGAATCCTATCCTATCCCTTGAAATTATCTATGGGATACATAATCCTATATAGATATTGGAGAAAAATT